GGTGAAGAAATACGGTACATATTGAGACAATACCAAACTGAAAACGGGTGGGAGCTTAAAAACCAGGATTTAATTGTAATATCGAGGAAAAACAATTAAAATGAATTGAATTAATATTTACACATAAACAATTTCTCAAACCATAAGAGATGAATACATTATTTTGTCCAGTTGTCTACAACTGGGAAAAGAAACAGTCTAAAAGATCTGTACTAGGCATTCACCCTAGGGGTTTCATGTGCCGAGTCTAATCACAATATTTACTATGTACTGTCAAATATCGACGACATGGTCATTATTGGGTATATTAAGACCACTGCTCCTTACAGAATTAGTGTAAGTACATCTAAGTACATCTCTACCCTACATGTAAAACATGAAATAGAGGCTGGCAAGTGTTCATGTACAAAAAGCGCTTCCTCGTGAAACATTCATTAGCACCGTAGTGACACATACAAACAGCACATTGAAAACGCACGCAGGCTTGAATTTGACCACATGAGAGACCATTTAGTAGTCAAATTAAATAATCCAAGCCCAGTGGGGCATTTCAAGAACAAAAAGTAAATCGTGCACATGAAAATATCTCTGTATGGGACTCACTGGATCATTGCAAGAGATGCAATGCGCCTGAGGAAAATAATTATTCCAAAGAGTGGTAACTATTACTTACCTAATAGCTACTTTCTGATATCAGCTAATTTTTTGAGTCAATCAATGTATACAAGCAATTGAAAAACCCTTAAATTTGGAACCTGCTGAAGAATCTATTCAGTCTGATTTTGCACGATTAACATAGTCTATAAAATAATATGGTCAAAACACACGATTAACACGGTCGTCTTTGCGCATGTGTGCTTTTACAGCATCCACAATACAACTGTAGCTACATTGCCTACATGTACATGTACATGTACTTCAAAATATAGCATAACATTATATGGAAGTGGGAACATATTTTATAAATTCCATGTTCTATTCCACACAACTGTTTTCTACGAGATGAGTAAGCAAGAGCAGGAGTATGCTTCTTCGCATCTGACTACACAATTGGTCATTCTTTCATTCTCTACAAACACTTGTACAGTACCTTCATAAAAGTATTCCATTTTGCCATAAAGATATTGCATCTTCTGGATAAAAACAGTTCAAATTGTTGATCTTTTGATCCAACTAAAAATTCACACTGCTTGGACTCATCAAAATATACCTGTATATGGAATCCATCATACAATCTTACTATCATACCATGTACAGGAGGATGTATTGAAACTTTTTCACTTTCATGAATGATCACTTCTTAAATTCTCCCTACAATTTTAGTACAAAAATATTTTGGTGAAGAGCACTGATTAAAATCACCCAAAGATCTTCTGTATATGCAATAGCCTGTCATACAGTAAAAAGAGTATATGTCATTTGCTTCATTCTTAATTCAACCCTGGAGTTCTAAAATAGGCACCTGGAATAAAGGTCATAAGCAAGGTTTTGATATACTTTGATATCACTGACGATACCACATCTATACAATGCTGGGTTCCTTACCCTTTTCTACAAGTACAGTACAGTATTTTTACAGAATATGCATAATTTTGCATACTTTCACAAAGTATGAAGTAAGTCAATCCTCAATCTGCAATTAAAAAAAATTGGTGACTTCTTTGGCTTTTTCTGTTTGCTAAATGATGAATGTAAGTGAGACTCTAACAGGTACAGCAATAGTATATGTTTCCTTGTCCCTGGAAAACAAAGGAAATAGTACAATTTCAGACGAGGCGAAACTTCACACTATCAGTGATAGGATCTCTTCACTTGATACATTTAAAAACTCTAGTCCAGAGTAAAGCTAAGAAACCCTAGTGTAAAAATGTAACCCCTTATTGAAAAAAACTCAACCTTAATCCCATTCAATATTTTTATTTATTTATTTTTTTTTTATTTTTTTTTTTTTACTGATATTATCCACAAAAGATTTTATTCATCTATTATTTGTCTATTTAAAATAAGAAATAGCAGGTGAGAGGCTTTTTCCTTTGCTATTTCAGCCATGGAGAGAAAACTAAAAAGACTAATAATAAAACTTGCCTATGGCCCTTTCATCCAACAGAAAAGGAAAAGCTGTAAATAGTCACTCTTTATTGCATTCTAAAGCCCTGCTGTTTCTCCGAAATTTGAGGATTACCCTCTCAATGTTTGCCTAAAGATGAAATGTTATCTCCTTGTGCTTACAATGACGTCAACAAGAGATGAATTTTTGACCCTTTACACCCTAACATCAGCATCCATATTCTTCATACTGGTAGCTGTGCATTTCTTAAGGTGTTTACAAGGAGAATTTGTTTAACAATCAAGAGCTTCTTTACAGTTGTTAATCATTCCCTTTTTTCTCATGACTTTAGTGTGTGATTTGGAGGTGATATTGTAAGGAGAAATTAGATGCTAGTCACCCTTTGGGGTAAAACAGTTAAGACAATACTCACCTCTATTTTGTATAAGTACCTTAACATTTGGATAAATTTTCAAGAACAATTTCACAGATAAAATTTGAGTGGAGAAACAAGTATCAGTTCAGAACCTTACAGTTCACTGATCTCCAACCCCAAGCTACAGTATAAAGAGCATTTTTATCTAATGTTTAGTTGAGTTAAATGCACAACCAACCTTAACTTGGAATTTTGGCAGGCTCAACCACCTTAGGGGCTGGATCAGTCTTGACACTGCTAACAGGTACGGGAACAATCTCGGGTTTTCCTTCTATTATGCATCTGATCCTCCGTTCTTCATCTGGCCACTGGTACTTCAAATATAAGCTCAGGAAGCTTGGAACATCTCTTTTGGATGATCCTTTCAGCAAGATTGTCATGTACTTTCCTTTTCGATTGCTTGCATTCGTGGCAAGCTCAGCCAGTATTAAGTCAGATTCAAGTCGAACCATACATGCCTCATCATCTAAAAATAAGATCACCAGTAAGAAATAATATGTTGAAGGAGAGACACCTGTCAGTAGCTGCTTCAAGGCAACAAAAGAAATGCACTTCTTTCATCTTGAATAAATTATTACACACCAGCATGTGCCCCTTGCAACATTTATTATTTAGCAATCTAATACAAGGCATTGTTCATGTAAATGCCCTGATGTTCAAACTTAACCCTTTAACTCCCAAGATTTCTTTAGCAATTTTCCTTACTATCCACTGCGTAATTTAAATGATGTTAGTTTGAAGAATTTGGAATTGGATCAACTAATAATCCCCTAATTGACATTTTTCTTTATTCTCATTACTTGTCTACTTGACATCATACTAATAATGTAATGAGAAATTCTGTCTAGGTCACTAGTGGGACTTAAGGGTTAAGTGACTAAAAATGCAAAATGCACTAACAACATCTCTTCTCAAAAAACAGTATCAAGTAAGACAAAACCTTGATGGAAGGAAAGGGTGAATAAGATACACTTGTAATAGGGAATTTAAAGAAGAGAAGTTCCTACAATGACCACACATACAAGTTACCTTTCTCTCTGCGTGGAGAATTACTTGCTACTACATACATGAATCATACAATAGTGTTTTATAATGCAAAACAAACAAAAGAACATTGCTATTTTATTTATTTAAATTAAAAATCTAAAAATAATTCAAATGCAAACCTTCAAGACTGTCACTGATTTCTTTGGAGGGCAAATCAAAAATTTTCTTCAGTTCTGGAGAAACACAGATGAATACAAAATTACTCTGCTGGACACTTTTCATAGCCCAGCGGAACATATTTTCAGCAACTTCAACAAGCTCCAGCTTGTCCAAATGGCACTTGTATCCCAAGTTTTTGCTAAAATGATAGTACAATTTAGAAACCTCCTCTTGAAAGGCTTTTCCTTCCAGGTGCGAACAGTGAATGATGGAGATGGTTTTTCCAGAACCTATCGGAGCTAGATCATTTAAAAAAAAAAAAAAGTCAGTTGGTGTTTCTTTGGTTAACATGGTTTGGTGATTTCAATTTGGACTTACACAATGGTAACTGTGATTCACCTGTGACCGATTCATTGAATTATCAATCCGAACATTTAAATAATTGTGTCCATCACAATGGTATCTCTTTCACCTGTTTCTTAAATCATATATTGTGGTGAATTCTAGACTAGACTGAAAGATTTTTGGCTAATCATTACCTCCTAAAACTTCAAAAGATTAAATTATTGTAGTAGCCATGTACAAAACACCCAAAAGTAAAAGTACATACATTAGACCAATGTGAAAAGTCAAAGTTACATACCTTCTGGGGATGACGTGTATCCTGACTCATATCCTAGGGATGTTGGGGAAGCTGCAGATTCTCCTGAGCTCACACTGTCTGAATTGGACAACCTCCTTGCCTTATCTACTTTAAGGGGAGAGAGATTTTCTTTTGGATTTTGGACAGATTCCCTGTAAGAGTGTGATGCTGTGAATGACGTCACCATGGATGTGTCTGAGTTGGATTCACCAGAGCTTACCAATGAGGAGTTTCCTTCATTGTTAGATGGTTCAGATGATCTCTTGTGTCTCTTTGTAGAAAACATAAGGGCAATTTTTTTCCGAAAAGATTTCTTCCTATCCTTCAATTTACTCTTTGGTTCATGGGAATTTGAACGCATATAGTCCTTTTCACCTTGGTTAGACTTAAGCAGGTCTTCATTCTCAAGATGTGCATCTGGTGACCAAGAGGCATACCTAAAAAGTCCAGGCCTTCCTGTAGTGGTGCCCCCTTCTTCGGCAACTCTGCTTGGTACACATAAGTTAGTGCTACTAAGACTCTTCCCATGCAGGTCTTTGTCGTGCACACTTATACCCCCAGAAGTCTTATCCTTTAAATTTGCAACTGCGGATGGTAGAGGACTTGAAGTTGTTGAGAACTCAGATGACGTAAACAAAGTGTGGTTTGTAAATTCTAAGTCTGTTGATGTAACAACTGAACTGTCCTCACTTACACAACAACCTCCATATTCAGGTTGGATTCCCTGTACATCACCAATCCCATCATCATCATTATCAACTTCATTCTGCCTCCTAACTGTTCCAGACTTTCTTTGATAATCTGAAATGATCATAAAAATAATGAGGTTCTTGAGAGATTTTCATCTAAAGAATACAGGGTTGTACACAAGAGCCAGCAGCCCAAAAAAATACAATCTCTGTTGGTAACTTCACAGGGTTTACAGCTGATCCCCTCAATCAGCAACTAGAGATGCCACAGAGAGTACAATAAAATAATGAACATCTATCCAAAATCTTAACCCTTCAACTTCCAAAAGTTTATTAGTAATTCTACTTACTATCTACCATGGAATTCTTATGATGTCAATTAAGAGAATTTGGTATTGGATCAACTAATAATCCCTGAATATTTTTCTTTATTCTCATCACTTCTATGCTTTATATTGAATTGGTATTATAAGAAGAGAAATTCTTTCTTGGTCACTCAAGGGAGTTAAAGGGTTAAATGCCCCAGCTCAACTATTTTCACAATCAATACTAGTCAGTCTAAAATATTAAATTGATCACCAGAGATAAAAATTTTAATATACCCAAATAAATTAGGAACAGAAAAGAACATTTTCTGCAATCTAAAATAACATTTTATACCACTATTCATCTCAGTTTGACTTAAGACCAAAAACACTGCATAAATCTCAACTTGGACTTGATTAGTTCAGGCTCACTACTTTTTCTAGTCTTTTCTCTCCTTCCAGCACATAACAAATGATCTCTAATCATGTCGACAGATCATGCATTAGTCAACTGAAATCCACATTGAATCCCATCAACATCTTTAATCTTTCACATTGTATATTCTTTGTAACGTAAACAACTATAATAATCCTCTTTCTATGTCAATTGTTGACTTTTTTCAAAGATTTTTTGTGATAAACAATTCAGTTGTAATTACAAAGCTAAAAGATCATTGAACAGATCTCCTTTTTATCTTTGGGCACACTACTAAAAGGTGATGAGTAGTAAGTAGTGACCTTGATCTTACAATTAATTCTCAGGCTCCATTAGAAACAATCTAATATTGCACAAATACCAGATCTGTACATTTGCACAAGTCTAGATTTAAGAGTTCATATCAATATTGCACTGGTGATGTTTATCATGACTCAGGCTAGGTGAACTACAATTAAGAGAACTCTTGATTTTGCACCTGGCATTGGAGTGAATTTTAAGCACAGCAGGATGTAACTACTATATTAAACTTGCAAGAGAAGAATAATGAATTTCTTGATAAAGAAAAAAAAAAACAAGGCATGGAAAAGAAACCATAAAATGTAGCTGGCAGCATCTTCTAGAGTGAAAGAGGAAGTAAAAGAATTCACATGAATCTAATCACACGAGAAAAATATTCAAATTACCAAGGAGCGGAAGGTAAAAGCAACCTTATGAATTTCAAGATCTTCATTCTAATAACTTGTCATGCACCTGATATTAGGTTCTAAAAAATCTAGACACCCACATGATGCATCCTTGCTTTTAACAAAGCTATTAGAAAAATGAATAAAAACAATACACACAAAAAACAAGAATGTTCAAAAGCCAAATAGGATTTCTTAACATCACTGTTACTCATTGTGACAAAATAAAAAAATAATGAAACCTCTTAACTGTCTTTCACTTGAAACTTGTCAAGTTCACCAGATAATTACATGTTAAAAAGACCTATTAAATTATAATCAATAGCATTGTAATAAACTGACTTTCCCAACAAATAAGTAAGAAGACGAAAGAGCAAAGAATAAGTGAAGTAATGATAATGGCATAAATTAACGTTGGCATTGTATTGAGGTGGCTAGTTTATTAGGTCATCGACCGCAATAAGATTAATACTTGCGTACATTTAGTCCTCCACAGAAGCTTTTAAACTTTTCAGCATTATTACTAGAAATTGACCCTTTTACAGCACCTAAATATTCCACGCTTTGCAATTTCATCCTATTAAAAACTTAACTGTGTAGGAAGAAGGAAGGCTCTAATTACAGCCTTCCTTACCGAGAATTTAACCTTCCCCTTCTCCACAAATTAAACCCAATTTAATTCAAACTCCGCCAGTTCCACTTCAACGAAAATTAATAAACCAAAAAGCTTTATTTGAAATGAAACAGAGATAGATCTTAGATTTATCATTAATTTAAGAATAGCGTGATTCGTATTCAACCGAGTTGATTTCACCCACACAATTCTAATCTTGGAAATCGTGATTGACGTAAATCCGCAGAGAAAGGTAAAGATTCACGTCAGATCAAACCAACCGTTTTAAATTAAACTTTTCACTCATTTCCCAACAACAAAATGATAAAATAAACATTTGCTGATGCAAATAAGTGAAAGGAAGTTCTTAAAAAACAAAGAAAACATGACAGAATCTCTGTACCTTCCACACATTCGCGAATTACTTCCAGACAAGAATAAAACTCCAGTTCGCTCAAGATATTCACAAGTGTCTCAAGAATACCATTCTTTTTGTATATCCAGTCTTCCAATAACAGTAATCCAGGTCGAGAATTGTGAGCGAAATAACCGAGGATTCTCTCAGCAGAATACCCAAGCAAATCGGCCACGTCTTTCCAATTTTTCAAGGCGCCCACCATGTTCAGCTGAAGTGACAAGGGATCGCGAATTTTCGTATATGAAAGAACCTCTCGCGCAGGCAGAGCCAGAATATCCCTCGGCATCGGACTAAGCCGAGGAGTGTCCTCTTCCTCTGTACAATCCATTGCTAGTCAGTGGAACTTTTCGCTCTACAACTTACACCATTTTGCGAATACTCTTATGAAGAAAGCGTACAACAAATGCAAGGACTCAGCGCAAATCACTTCCCACAATTCCTCAAATCACGTGAGCACATTTCTTCCTCATTTCAAGCCCTTTAGACAATAGACCGCGCTAAGACGTGCAAATATTGTTCGTTCACTTCCTGTGTGATCTAAAGTTATCTACATAGACTGGATGTCATCTCGCAAACCAACGTGTATAAAATGCAATTAACCAAACAACTCAATTATTCTCTTTTTGCGCGTGCCTCCTTTCCGCTTCCCGTGGTGCAAAATTATAAATAATATTTTCAATTTTAAAATTGGAGATTTTAATTGGGACTGGTCCTCCTCCCATGCTGTTTAGAAAAAGTATTTAAATTACCTAAGGTGAATTTCATTATCCCAGTTTATGTTTCCCTTAGGATACAAACTACCAATGGTTTTGTCTTTCGTTTTCCAAATGTAAAAAATGTCTCACTTGCTTTTTCATGTGTAAATTATGAAGGAGATATTTCGTGTTCAGTGAATTGGAATCTACTCACTTGCTAATTTAATTGCTCGACAAGAATCTAGGACGTAAATAAAAGTTAAGGTCGTGATATTTCGCTTTTGCCTTGAATAAAATTTTTTCATCGCAGATTTTTCTACTTTCACGTTATAAATTGGCATTTATTTCTCATTTCCTAAATCCGTATCGTGAGTAATTTTAAAAATGTGTCGTATTTCCGTGTTGTGAGGGCAATCGTGATCAATCGTGATAGTTCCTCAAACAAGGTACGTGACACTCACTGAAACCAGAGCAATAAAATTAGATCACAATATCAGAAAACTGTGGTTCTCCGGTTCGATATTACGTGAGCTGATCATGTTTGGAAACTTCTACAACCGAGTGTTGTCGGCATACCTTCACGAGAAGGGTAAAAGGGTCAAGTTCTGTCGGAAGCATGATTCAAAACTCATCAATCTTCAGTTTTAATAAGGCTTCATACAGAAGTTAGAGGCAAGAAAGACTATGTGCATTTCAGGGAATTTTCATACTGCCAAGCTTGTCATAGAATGGGAAAAAATTCCAATTCAGCCACCAAAGCATAAAAGCTGACTTCGACCGGAAATCCTATTGCGGTTTGTTTTCCAGTGAATAGATTTTGGTTGCCATGCAACCATGAAAAACGTGTTGCAGATCATCGACTGGCGCGAGAACTGAACAACGCGACTCAGTGATACAGGAAGGCCAAGAACTCGCACTTCAAAAGAGGCAGAATATTATTTCAAGAACCTTTCGGAAAAGGGAATCCCAGTTTCCTTAGCTCGGTTCTTGAAACTGAAGATAAATGCGGTAAAGTTCTCCATCATGAAACAATATTCTGAAAAATCCCAACATCTCAGTACAACCTTATCGAGAGGCAATGAGGAAGCAAATCAATCAATCAATTTGAGTCAATTTAAGGTGATGATAGAATGACCTGGAGCCATCACAAAGGCCGCTACAACTCTGGAGCCGTGGCCCTGGTAAATATTTCGGTTATTTCAGCAGGGACCGAACGAAATGGTCACTCCAGTGGGCTCGGAAGGAACAGAGGATTCGCCCACGGATGATTCGATGGAAAAACCAGAACTCTCCAGGGAAGGTTTGAAAAGTACCCGTTTGAGATTACAAAGGTTATTGAAGATCCGCTGTTGGGAAAAGGTTTCGAACATGTTGCAAAGATAAGGCGTGTCCTTCAAAGAGGTGCGCTTTCCATTATCCAGTTCAGGGGTCCATCTTGGCAATACCATTTGTGGGATAAGAAACACATTGCCAATCCATATCCACATCCAACTTTTCTGCTGAATGTTCTCGACTACGGGTTCTTGTTCTTGTTTTTGTTCATTCACGTAGGCTTACATCCAGAATCTAAGTTGCATATTGACGGCATACAGTAATTTGCTTCATAGAGATGTTTTTTCTTTTCATGTATTTAATTGTAAAAGACAGTTAAATGACAGCTTGAGGAAATCAATTTTTTTTACATTCCCTGCTCTTGTTCACAGAGCAAAATTGATTCATACAGTTAGAAATCAGATTTAATCTTTTATGCCATTGTCAGACATCTCAGTTAAACAGTTCAGAAAATTTCCAATATTCTTTATATCTTGATACTCCTTGGATTGAATAGGATTCATGTCTCATACAAACCTAATATATCTTCTTAGCCCCTTATTTCAGCTGGTAGAGTATCAGAAGGTCCTGGCTTACAATCTTGTTTTCAGAATTAGATTTCTTTCTTCATGTCAACTTCACATTATTTATTGTTCTTCCTAGCAAGCAAAGCTTATGTGATAGGGATTGTAAAAAGTTGAGTTATTCATTGAGATAACCACGTGAATGTCATGAAGTTACACCAACAGACTTGTTGATTGATGATGTTTTGTTCAATCCGATGTCACCTCAAAGGTTGAAAGCTGTGTTGCAGACAAAATATGAACTCCAACTGGTTGGAAACAGTGGCTTCTGATCAGTGGGCTCTATATTTTATTAATTCTTATGAATCTCTCTTAATTGAATCATTGTACTGCAACAGCTAAGTTTACAATGCATCAAGTGATAAATTCTTCCAAAACTCAAGTTGCACCAAAAATAAATTCCTGCAGGAAATGTAACTTGCTTACAAAGTTTATTTGCACTGTAAAGATTAAAAATGTTGACTAGATCAGTATCATAGAGATCTTATATGTCTTGTGCCACACTTGTAACAAAACAAATGACACCTTTCTGTATTTTACCATGTTTCTTGAGCTGTGCCATTCACAACATTGCTGATCCAGGCAGCCTGCTGGGCAGATGTGAGATATCAGTGAACCTTGTAATGTCCTAGCCTGACAGAACTACTGAGGAAATTACTCATTAGCTCAGTGTTAGGGCATAAGATTACGAATAATGATAACGTCTGGGGTTCAATCTCTCTAGGCAGACTCAGATTTTCCTCGGTACCCTACCAGTGACTGAACGAATGACATCTTTCTTTGCCTTCTCTATTATGCTACGTTAATGGTGCCACGGTGTACCGTCGTTTGATCTTATATGGAAAGTACTGCGACAGATAATTTCTTTTCGCTGGAAGTTACTTTCGCGAGAATTTGAAAGGTAGTTAGATGTGGCATTACTTTGCAAAAACATATCTCCAGATTTACAAGATTCAGGTTCCTTATTATTGTATAGTAGTAACAATAACGACAATGAAGTACCTCATTTCCTGAATTCTTGCAAATCTTGGCGCGGTGGAGGGAGACTTTTGAAAACAATCAAATAAATTTTCCCGGTGAGGACTTTCGTCACATCACAATTCGTCCATGAAATCCTTCCGAGCAGCCTTTAGTAGTACGTGTTTTCCTCATTCTGTTCAACAAAGCATGCAATTTGATTATTGGCATATTTGAAAATATGCACGTTTCTCGGAAAGCTTTAATTTGAAATACTTGAAATGGCTTCTTGCCTTAAAAAGGTTTCACCTTAGACAAATGGACTTAAATAAATGAAAATAGTTTTTTGCGACTGCGAGGATTACAGTTCAATACAGTAAGCCGCGTTTTCTCCAAAGACCACAAGCTCCACGACAGGACATAATTTGCAGACTTAGCACGACCTTACACCTCTCGATGAATTGGTACAAACCTCTTCACGAAATGTTTGTCTCAAAAAGCTTGTAAATTTTCCTGAGTTTGAGACACTACTGAAAATTCAGATCTGAAGCATTGCACAGATTGCTTTTCATTCAACTCTGTTCACAAAGCAATGCGCATCACTTGGTCAAAATTCGCACCATTCTCTTGACCAATCAGATGCCAACTTGAGACTTGAGTCACCCACGTTCTCCCGCGCTTTTAGTTGGTGTCCTTGCTGTTGTCTTCAGTCTGACCTTAACGTTGGGATTACTATCACGAATGTTTGTCCTCAAAAGCTTGTAACTCGTACACTCAAAAGTTTATTGAATTTGAGATCTTTGCTTTAAATTCAGTCCGGCTATATGGTTTTCTCAGATTTCTTTTCATTTAACTCCGTGTACAAATAGCATTGCGTGTCGCTTGATTAAAACTCAAGCCATCCTCTGGACCAGTCAGATACCAATTTGCGACTTGGTCATCCGCGTTTTCCCGTGCTTTTAGTGGGTTTCGTTTAGTTAGCCAGTTGCCTTTAGATCGGCTGTAATTTCCCTCTAGCTCTACGACAGTCGATCGAAAAGTGCCTCGAACTAAAATTCAGCTACAGCTCCTGTCGGCAACATCAACCTGAGTAATCCACTACAAAACTCAGACTCTATTAATGGAGCATTAAGCCACACAGGGAAGTTTGAGTTTGTGGAACAAAAGCTAAACTTTATTTACCTTTGGCGCAAGTATTATTCATTTGCCTAATTAATTGTCTCAGTTGTTTTCTTATTTTTTCTAATAAGACTATAGAATAAAATATAAACAAATTGAATTGACTCATAGCTTTAAGACTTTGTAAGTTTGCAACAAACTTCCTACCAGTGTCACAATGTACACCCCTTCTCGATCCAGACATGATCATGACTTTCCTGGTCATCAATTAAAATTTTTGTGCAAAAATGTGAACTAGGGAGCTTCTCATTATGGCTTCACCTAAAAACAAAATTTTCTTTTCCTCTTTTTAAGGAAATACCATACCGTGAATTAAAAGAGCCTAAAGCTCAAAATCTATATTTTATTCCCGGAGGGGAAAAATGTTTCCTTAATTGTCAGAAAAGTTTCAAATTTAATTTGAATTGCAAATCAAATGTAAAGCAAATTGAGATATTTTTGCATACGTCCTCTCAGTGATATTAATATAGTTCCGGCGAGAACTTATGCATTATTTCCGGTTAAAAAGGGAATTCACCGCAAAGCTAGCGGAGCATCGCAATTTTGAATTATCTCACGGCATTGCCTGTCGAAGTCCTTTCATCTGGAATGGATCATATAACTGAAATGAACCTTTCCAGGGGCGCTGAAAAGCTATAGCTGAATTCCGGAGGCCTAGTCTCGTCTCATGGCTAAGGGTTCTGCAAAAGAAAGAAGACATTTGAGGATAGTTAGCGTCGCCGAAAGATATCATCATACTAAATAGATTTCGGTTGACCCTAACTTTTTGCAAACCCAAAGTACTGTCATTCTCCTTAAAAAGCATTTTCATTCAACTATTACCATCACAATTTTTTCCTTCAGTTTTCCATGATAGTTTTGGGGCTCTACAGCTATAACCAACGCACCAGCAATAAATTTAAGAGGAGTTTAATTTCCTGAACGGGGGTGAAGACTCAACCGAACTCTTCTATTTACAGGCATTGCCAGGGGGTTTATAAGTATAGTATTATGAACATAATGCATTAAGAATGGAAGATTGGAATAAAATAGGATATACGAATAACGTAGTACGAAATACTAATAACATAAGACGAAAGGGCGATTTACCCGACGATTTTGGAATACGGCTGGCATAAGAACGTTACCTGCGATTACATTTCAACTCGAGCTCGCGCCTTTTATTTGCATGATCCGCGCGAAAGTCAAACTTACATGAATAGCCGCGCGGACTGGGGCTAGGAGATCGGTTTCTACAACAGCTGTAGATATAAGTTCGATCGTATGCAAATGAATAGGAGATGAGATGTGCATGGTGCGAAACATAAACCAGTGACCTACGTACCTTTTATCATCTTCGTAAACGAACACCTCCAAGATGAGCACTGCCACTGGGAGTTTACGCATGTACTGTTTAAAATGAAGGTAAGTGAAATCATATATCGAGACTATTGACCCCAGTAGCATGGTATCCAGTCGTTTCGTACCCACAGTCGTTTCATACCCAGTCGTGTCGCACCCAAATTCAGTCGATTAGGGTTCAGTCTGAGTTGATTCGTACCCAAACCATTACTCTATTCTTAATCGTCCCAATATACATGCAGTTCTTCGAAATACCCCATACGCGAACGCGTGAGGTAAGAGTCAAGCGAGTGATACACACAAAATTCTGTTGTGTTTTCATACGACCTCCTTAAGAAAAGAGGCAACTGAATTGTTACCTCGTGAAAGGCGTAGGTGTGATATTTTAAATGGAACAGCCTTATTTTCACCACTGCGAAGACCGCTTTCATATTCATAGATAAAACAATTATTCATAGATGATTTTCAGATATTCACAGTCGTTTATTTATCACTTCACGGGTTTATTTGGAATAAACATAATAACCAGCTCCCAATTGGCTTGTTAGCTCAGTTGGTAGAGCACTGCACCGGTATCACAGAGGTCATGGGTTCATATCCCGTGTAGGCCTGAATTTAATTTTTCAGGCCTTATTTTCACCACTGCTCAAGTAATGTTTATTACTGCGAAAATCGATTTCATATTCATCTCGAAACAGTCTATTGTTTATGCATGCGACTTTCTTATCGATAACAGTTTGTGTGTGGTTTTTTCTCCTCGTTTTGGTTATCAATGATAATGTTTTTTGTCGTTTTTTTTTTTATTCTATTCTTACTTTTAACATACCTTACATGGACATACATACCGTATTAGTATTAGTATGGGTACGAAACGACTCAACTGACTTAGTACGAATCGACCTCACTGGGCACGAAGAGACTGAGTGAGATTCGACCGTAGTGCGGAACGACTGATAACCCTTAACTGACTTACGTCACTTTTATCACAACGTCTAGCAATATTCTGTGGCATAAAGAGTACATTTCAGTACCAACTTACCACGACGTGCATCTGTCAGGTAGAACTATAAGTTCACCACGGAAGTATTTTTTTCCCTCAAAGTGACAAACTAGGTAATAACAAGAAAGCAATAAATCATATCACGTGTTGACTATTGTAGCGGGCGTACGTCGGTCCATCGGTAAGCATTATTTCTATCTCCTATCACCTATGTGTTAACTGCTGACTAAAACGAGCAGGATGCTCGGACCATTTAGGGAGAAAATTAGCGCCCAAATCAGCGCTGCAATTGAAATAAAAGCACCAGTTTTAAGACTGGTCACGAATGCAGAGAACTTTAATCACAGAATAGAACCTTATTGTGTGACAAGACGCGTGAGGTAAATGGAAAAACGTTTTTTACTGACCTATCTCTAATCACAGTTTTACATGAGAAAGTATAACAACCTTCTTGGTAGTCCTGTGGACACGCTGGACAGCATATTCCTTTTATCTTAAAAGGATCATTACACCTTGGTGTAGGACAGCGCACTACGGAACAGCTGCTTGTGTTGGATTCTCCACAAACGCAGTGAGCACATTCACTTAATCTCCACATTTCACCCTTCTTGAAGACTCTTCTGGACAGTGGATCATCACACTGCGGTGACTCTGTGTGATATGAATAACTTTTATGAGGAAACTTTATGGAAAAAAATGCTGTTGTCGTAGCGTGGTGTAACATGACGTGGGTTGGCTTAATCGATGAGAAGGCAGAATTTTTTTAAACGCAAAATTGCATAAAGTGAGGGCAGAATTATTTTTTACACAAAATTGGTTGTAGTTTGGTGGGATTAAAATCTCCCAGCGCAACTTACCGTTAAGTGGTTGCATACTTCGTTTAATGCCCTCTTCACATACCCAACCTCGAGACTTTTGACACTGGCTGAAACAAAAACAAGAATTTGCCGAATAATTTTGACGCGGCACGTAGTTATTATGCGGTTCACTCGACAAGGTATGTTAATATTGCGTGATTCGAGGTTTTTTATCGCACGAAAATAGAAAGACAATGTTTTTGAAGTGACATGGACTCCGGATCGGCACGACACCTCACTCTCCACCTAGGAGTATGAATTAGTACCAGAGAAACTGTCAGGAGAACTCGACAGAGAGCTAAGGAGCACCTGTAATGGACAAGCCTCTCATTTGGAAGGAGTGAATTTAACACACTTCAAGTCACTTTGCGCTATAGAAATCGGAGATACGCACATGTACTCATGTTACCTGACCTTGTAAGTAGCATATTGATAATCCCTCAAGTTCTTACCACTCAGTGGCGTTTCGTGAAATTGTGCAGACCTTTGACGCGTTCTGGCGCAATAAATTATTCGGCATATTGACATTGCGTTTCATTTTACCTAGATCAGGATGATTTCTTTCTGTTGTGGATCACTGAGTTAAGTTAAGAAGCTTAAAAAGCCGCAAACCCGCAGCAAGCCTTACGAATTTTATGAATTCTTTACTTACCAAATTGTCTTGCGGTCTTGTAACACAATGATTTCACTCTGAAAGAACGTCTTCCCATTGAAATGGCACACTAGGAAGAAAAATCCTCAGGCCATTTAGCTACTATTAACAAATGGCAAAAAGTAAATAGCAACCAGCTTAGCTAAGAAAAGTATCGGGCGGAGTGATACTTGTACCGCCCAATGGTATATATTTTCAAGGGTCTTGAATCTTCAACAGAGTATGACATTTCATTTTTCAGTATCTTGAATAGAGCGTCTCTATGAATCGAGATCCTTGACTTGGGTGTGAACGTTGGTGGTGCGTGATCTACAATTTTTAAAACTATTCCTAAGTTGCAAGACATGGCTCCAGAAGGTCAACATGTCAGGATTTGAGCAATTTGAAGTCTCCGAGCAAATATTGGTGAATTGAGTGTCGGGAGAAATCCAAGACTGCCATTAATTATTTTTTTTTACTTAGCTCTGTTATTGGTCTATAAAACCCGCATGCAC